ACGTAAGGGTGATCACAAAAGTCGAAGCGAGCGTGCTTAGATTTAATTAAATAAACTCTGTTAAAGTAGCGGTTTGCACCGCAAGTTAAATGTACATTCGTGTAATAAAAGTGTGTGTGTGAGAAAAACAAAAGAAAACTCTACCATTCTGACAAAGATCCTTACACTAATATCTCATTGAAGAAGGCCCTTTACATGTTTATATTTTTTTTCTAGTAGTTTGGTATGTTGGACCGATTCCGTATGTTCCTTGTGTTCATCATAGCGAGCGGGCAAACTCTATCAATATTAATTATTGCCGTTAAATTGTAGCCGACGAGCTGTGATCGTGTGTCGTCGAAATCTGATAAGTAAAACCGTGCGATTAAAGTTTGAAGTGCCAAAAATTAGGAAGGTACGCGGGGAAATCTACAACACATACTTTGCCGAGGCCGAGCATCTATTTTATCAACGCTCGGATATTTACTTTGCAGCTACGTACTATTTATTGTCCGCCACTGCCGTGTACACGCTCGAACAACTTTTCCGCACTCACACCTGGCGCCCAACTTCAAGATTTGGTGAGAAACATTTTAAGATATGCTTGAAAAAACGTGCCGAAGGTGTACTGCACCTTCGCAATAAAATCCAAAGCGTGGTGCGCGTCACAATATACATATATATACATATATATACATAGATATACATATATGTACATATACATAAATATACATATATATATATATATATGTACATATACATATATATATATACATATATTTATTTATTTATTTTATATACAATGTTTGATTACTCTTGTGTTTTATATAATGTTTTCTATACCCTATAAGCAGTTCTCAGTTATTATTTACAAAATATTAAACATTTTATTCAATAAAACTGTTGAAAATGTTATATTGTACATAAAGATACTAATGATCTTATAACTTTATGTTGCTTTATCAAATTGAGAAGAGTTGTTTTTCCAGTATATTATGAGCTAACAAGTACCAGTATGATCAAACTGCGTTAGAATAATTGTTTTAAAAAGTCAAGCGTATATTATGAGAGTAAGCCATTGATGTCGAAACACGTAAAACTATGTTTTTTGCATACCGTCGTTTGATTGTGAGTCATATGCAAATAGTTTTGTATGTAGGTACAAAATAGCGTATCTTGCTATTGCATACCTTATTCTGGTAGAGTACATAATTACTCCGGCAACAATATCAAAACCAAAATTCTTGCACGAAACACTTCATAGTGAAAAAGTTAAGGTAACGCCACCGATCTATGCGCACGTAATTGCGAAATTTGTGATAAATTGTTTGCAAAATTCTTACTCAACGTGAAATTTAATTTGTGACTGCGCGTGACATAGTCAGCAACAACGTCGCTTACGCGCTGTGATTAACAACAATTTAATCATATAAAATCTTCTTTTTTATCAAACATAAAATATGATGTAAACAACTGAAAATAGTACAAAATTATTATGAGTTTCATATGATATTATTATATGAGAGTTAAAGATATTAATTATTAAATTCTTTTTAAATGCGTGTTACTCTCTCTGTCTAATTGTTACACTTTATAGTTCCGTAATTGTTCACAAACAAACATGGATCTTCCAGACCCATTCAAAACACACAATAATTCTACGTAAAGAAAAGTAAATGCTATTTGACGCATCTAACCATTACAACAGTTTTAAATGTCATTATTTTTTATACATAGTATTATTTATAAAAAATCTTTAGACTCTGAAATTTCTAAATTAGAAATATTTGTTTGAACGATTTGATACAAGCGTTTCTACATTATTTAATAAAGTTATTTTTAATAATTAAAACTGAGGATTAATAGTCTTCTTGAAATGTTTATTTAAGGACCTATATTTGATATATACATTATCGTTAACAACAAAAGAAGCAAACATGGACTGCAACAAACAATCTACTTCGTGTAATACAAACAACGAAATTGTTATCTCTGGTATTGCTGGACGATTTCCTAATTCTGATAATATGAAACAACTTCAGGATAATCTTTTCAATAAAATCGATCTTGCTTCGAACGATCATCAAAGATGGAACACTGGTAAGATATTTTTTGTTGAGTGTGGGTGTGTGTGTGAGAAAGAGAAGAACTGAGTGATTGGCTAATTACTGCATAATTCCTTCACATTTCTATTCAGTAGCATAAAACGTAAACTTTACACATTTCACGTTCTTATCGAGTAGCTGATCGATGGCGGCGTTTACTCTCGCTAACATAAAGTATTGAAAGTCTCGTACGTTTATTGTAAGCCAATAAAACAATCTTAAATATAAACTTTTCTGAAAACTTAAAACAGTCCTAAATGTAAAATGCGATATGTAGCTGCATTTGGCATTAGAAATTGAAAATCGAAAACAAATAGAGCTACTCGATTAATTGCAGTTACGCAAGTACACAAATTTCTGAGCTACAAATGCACTTCAAAATTTTACAGTATGAAAAGCGATCTATAAGATATTTGATCCGAAATTTAGCGCAAAGTAACTATATTGATGGAAACTATTTGAATTTTGGCAGCTGAGTTTGACATGCCCTCTAGACTTGGCAAGATCAATAACATAGAGAAGTTTGACGCACAATATTTCGACATTTCTATGACTGAAGCTCAAGTATTAGATCCTATGGCTAGAATGTTACTGGAACACACTTATGAGGCAATTATTGATGCTGGACTTAATCCTGAAGAGTTACAGAAAACAAATACTGGTGTATTTATAGGATGTTGTTTTTCTTTGACATTTAATGAACTTATGTATAATAAACCTCAGGTACAAAAATTGTTTGATATGATAAATTAAATTACGATAAATATTATAGTATTTCGGTTTTTACTTAAAAATTACTCAATAGAATCATAGAGAGAAACATTGATAACACATATTTCATTATGTTTTCTTACGACACTTTTGTGTGCCATCACTTTCACTTCGATAGAATTTAGGAGCTATATTAAAAACTCAAGTTTGATTTGAGTTTATGCTATATATATATATATATCCATTCAACTTTTTAATTCTGCCATTAATCTACATCTACAATTTGTGAAAAAAAAGCGATTTTTGTTTTATATCCGTGTGCATATATAATTATAATTCAGGCTCGGAATTGTTTATACAAAATTCCTGATAAAGATAGGCACTTTTGCTGCTTTTTCTTTACTGCTCTTATCAACAATAATTCTGTCTCATGCTTGATAAAAAGCGTGCTAAAAGAGAAGCGCGTTTGCGTCTTGAAACGGTAACTGTCGTTGAAATGTGTACAAGCGAGTAAAGAAAATCAAAGAGGCGTCATTCTTAAAACTTCGGCTGAAGATGCAAATTATGAGTACTAAAGTATAACCACTTATTAGCAATATCAAAAACTGGAACTGGCTCAGTGATCTCGCGGCCTGAGTGCAGGGGTTACAAACATGAGAGTCCCAAGTTCGAATCCGCTTATCACTTTAGAATGTTTTTCTGGGCCGGTCTCTTTCAATCGAGTTAATCAAGTGATTGGCGAACTAAATCGGGCCATCAAAAAATTAATTTGAGTAAATTTTCGAATTAATTTTTCTCCCACAAGGCGATCTTAAGAGGGTCCTGGAGCGTAATATATACAGGGTGTCTGACAATTACTTTAAATTCTCTCGTAGGCAGGTAGAAGAAGTAAAACTGACTCAAAAAGTCCTGAACCATTTGTTTCTATTACATATAATAAAAAAGTAATTATTGAATAAATCAATCCAATCAACGCCGACTTTTAGCCGGGCGGACGTTTGTGAGCCGCGCGGAGCGTTCACGCACACCGTGGTTCACTGACATGCGTTCGGCTAAAGGTAGGCGCTGATTAGCTTGATTTACTCAATAATTTCTCCTTTATTATATGTAATAGAAAAAAATGGTTCAGGACTTTTTGACTCAGTTTTACTTCTTCTACCTGCCAACGAGAGATTTCAAAGTAATTGTCGGACACCCTGTATATCGTGACTGTTACCTATACAAGTGACATCAACCATAGAACGTCGTTAGAGAAACAAGGACACATATATCAAAAGAAATTATATTAGATTTAAACGTATTAGTCAATGTTTGTATATTTTTGTCTTCCAAATCATAGTCTAATAGTCTCATTACATTTTTGAATGTTATGTTTATCTTGGACATTAATTTGGTTTTTATGCATAATTCTTAAACTGTAAATGCTAGTACACTAAAGTGGAAGTGATTGTAATTTTAAAAATTGTTGTTAAGTTTTTTATATATTGAAATGTGTCCGAGATTAATTTCATTATTTTCTTTTATTCTATAGAGCCGTTTTTCTATCCAAGCAATAAATACAAAATGCAATCTAAAATACGAATTACTCGTTCGATCGGTATAACAGAAAGATCCAGGCACGAGCCCGATACAGATGGGCAAGCCCACTATGCCGTGTATCGCGTGATAGTAGTAGTATACTGTACAATCCTAACTTGACAGAAGAGAATGGAAAATAAAAAGAAATGCTGAAAAAGACTAGAGACAAAGCAAAAAAAAAGTGGAAAAGAGAAGATGACCCGCAATTGCTCGTCCGGTTATGAGCACGTTAAAATAATTACGTAAAATTAAAAGTATCAAAAAATGAATATAACCCTGATAGGAAAACATTTACAAAATTATGTGACAAAATCTTGCACTAAAATTGTAATTTACAATTATTTAAATATATTTTCGGAAATAGATGTAAAAACATTGATCTTTTATGAAATATTTGTGTTTGTTTGCAAAATTACTTTCCAAATACTATTTCGTCAAAGAATAACGATATGGCGAATCATCTTAGTGCAATCATTGCAAAATCGTCGTCACTCATTATGCCATTTTTGTGGAATATTTTCACAATTTGCTTATTAAGAAACATTGACTCAAACAAAAATAGTTTCTATTCATCAAAGTAAATGTAATGGCACGCAAAAGCATAATAAAATATATATATATGTGTATACATATATTTACTCTATATATGTATAGGTATAGAGTAAAAGTGTCTATTACGAGATACCTTTTTGTAAAGGCTTATAATTTACTAAATATGTAATCTTAACTTTTAGTTTTATGTTGAACTTATGGGAAATATATTCAAGGTTTATCACCAAAAATGAGCAATCGATAATATCTATACTTTGTTGTATGTAAATTTTTTTTATCAAAAGTGCCGATCTGCCCATTCAAAAAAAAAGTTTCTAATATGAGACACAAGGAATTTCTTTCCTATAAGAATCTAAGCAACAATAGAACTATCGTCATTCTTAACATATGTTGTTCAGTAGTATGGGACGTTAAAGTGTTTAGATGCTTTTGAATATCTCATTGGTTTGCTTCTTACTGTTTTAACAGCCTCTAATTGAATGTAAAACCACGATTGCTTCTTCTTTGCCTTCATGTGAAAATATGATTACTAAACACTTATTAATACATCAAATAAAGAACTTGACAGAATAAAGAACTTGACAGTTCTTAATATAAAGTACCTCATATTAAGAGCGACTGCGTGTCTCATATTAGAGAATATAAAATTGTAGAAAGGTGAAGTTTACCGATAAAGTATGTAATAAATTTACAAAACTACATGATAAACCACTTATAATGCATGTGTACATTTGAGTGAATTGAAATGACAGTGAAGCCTATGACATAAAAGTGGTAAATACATATTTTAAATTTATAATGATTATTTTTCTTATCTGCGCGTACGCGATAGCTTCTTTGCAGACACCACGTCACTTTCGGCAATGAACGACACTAACAAAAAGTTTGATGTTTTTGTGTAAGTGATGTGTTAAAAATATGCAATTATGAATTTGCAGCCATTTACAATAAAATAGCTATCTCCCATTAAGCGACTATCTCATAATAGGCACCTTTAGTTTATATACATGGTGTCCTACAATTAATTTAACAACTCTCGTAGGCACGTAAAAGAAGTAAAACAGAGTCGAAACGTCTTATACCATTTTGCTAAATTCGCATTAGTTTCCAAGATCTTAATTAACAAAGATCCGCGAATAAGCATGTATCAGGCTGTCTTACGCGCGTAAGATTGCCCGATGCGTTTCGCGCGCTCACGGTATTATCCGTAGTAACGTATGGAAGGAGCTATAATTATAACAGCATATACTATAACGTATACATAATAAAAGATAGCCGCGCGAAGCGCGTAAAACAGCCTACTACATGCTTATTCGCGGATCTTTGTTACTTAAGATCTCGATAACTATTGCGAATCTCGCAAAATGATATAAAATTTTTTGACTCAGATTTACTTGTTCTCTCTGCCTACGAGAGATGTTAAAATAATTATCGGACACTTTTTGTATACACATGTACATATGTATGTGTAATTATATTTTATGTGTAATTATAGATAGCTGAACATGTACATTCATCTGCCAAACTTTTCCTGGCAAACAAGATTTCTTCTTGGTTAAATGTCTCTGGACCATCATACGTTGTAGATACAGCCTGCAGTTCAAGTCTTTTCGCTTTAGCTCATGCGTACACAAGAATGAAAAACGAAGAATGTGATGCGGCCATTGTAGCTGGTGTTAACCTGTGCTTGCATCCTTATATAACGTATCAATTCTTTAGTCTTGGTAAAGTTAATTTTTAAATGATACTATTGTTACACAGTACATATTTGGTTTTCAAGTTTATCACAAAATATGATAATGATTAACGATGCAAGAAGAGAGAAATAGGAACCAATTACGAGATGAAATGTAATAGATATCTCAATTTCTTTTCACAAAGTCCATTAAACCATAAAATGGGCACTGTTTTTACAATGGTTGATAGATCTATTTTATTATCAGAACCCATATATCATCGTAAAAATCTTTATTATGTTATTGACACTCTGTTAACTAATAATTATCCACTCGACTTTATTTTTAAAATAATTAACAGGCTTAACCCTTTGCGGTCGGTGCCGCCACTGTGGCGGCATTTGTAATCTGTCGTAGAAGTCGGTGTCGCCGCTGTGGCGGCATGATCACGTCTCGAAAGAAACATTACAGATTAGCATCAATATATTGTGTCCTTTNAAATATAAATATATCTACCTTAAATCGCTTAAGCAACAGTGGCTCCGAAAAGCTAAATTTGCGCCGACTAGCTGGTACTCCCAAGCGAAAAATTTACCGACCGCAAAGGGTTAAAATGTTGTTCTCTAATAAACTTAATAAACATCTTAAAAATCATAATCTTTTAGACAACACAGACAAACCACCAACACATTATTGTGTAATTCCATATATATCAAATATTGAGCGTATCTTTGATCCTCTCATAAAAGTAGCAATCAGAAATAATACTTCAGTAAGACCAGCTTATAGAAATTTTAATTTACTTAACAAATTTATGAAAGCACATAAAGACTATGTTTCAATAGATAAACAGCAGTCTGGTATCAGGCTGCTCTTCAAACCCTGATGAAATGAGTTGTAATGTTCACGAAACGTCGGTATAAAAATGACACTAGCGCGGTTCAAACCCGAAAAAACATCTTTGTATGTTAATATTTTTATCTTATTTTACTAATGGACTATTTCATTATTAAGGTATATGTCCAATAATTCACAATTTATATACAATTTTTTTATATATTTTTTATTGTTTTTATATGTAATTTAATTCTTAATTAGACTTTTGATATTTATAATTGCCAGTTGTACTATGTATTTGTAGTTTCCACTGAAGATGACTTTAAATATATAGTCAAAACGTTTAGAATAGTGATGTATGTATTAACGTTTATTATATTTCATCCCGTAATTATGGTTCCCATTGTCGTCTTCTTGCATCATTAATTTTTGTATCCGGAACCGGAGGTCATCCTCAAAATCGTTTTTTCATGATAATGATTATTGACATTAAATTGTGCGGAGTGAAAGACATGAATTTTTTCTAGTTCTGTTTTATTATTGCGTCAGACTGCTTTAGCTGACCACCTTCAGCTGATGATAAACGATCACATAAGAGCCAAGTGAAATAAATTAGCGCAGCAGCAAGGAAACGCTAAAGAAAATTTATTTCTTTCGCCGCGCATAAATGACGGCTACTGTACATTAATAATGCTGAAAATTGACCAGAGAAATAACATGTCCATAAGACAAACTATTATTATATAAATAATTTTAGGAGTATTGTCCGCTGATGGTTACTGCAGACCTTTTGATGAAAACGGCAGTGGTTACATGCGCAGCGATACTGTAACAGTGCTGGTTTTGCAGAAAGCAAAAAATGCAAAACGAATTTACGCTACATGTGTTAATGTTAAAACAAATTGCGATGGTTTCAAAGAAGAAGGTATTACATATCCCTCTTTTAAAATGCAGAAAGCTTTACTAGAGGAGTTTTATAAGGAATGCAAAATTGCACCTTCTGAGATATCTTATATGGAAGCTCATGGAACTGGTACTGTAGTAGGCGATCCAGTAGAAGTTAAAGCTATTGATCACGTTTTCTGTAAAAACAGAAATAGTCCTTTATTGATGGGCTCAATAAAATCAAATCTTGGACATTCTGAGCCTGCTAGCGGTCTCTGTCAAATAGCAAAAGTATGTAGATATATACATGATAAGCTATAATAAATGACCCATTTTTACTTCGTTGTATACTGTTTCTACAAAAAGTTCAAAATATAAATTCTAAGATTTTGAAAACATAAGTCAGTTGTATTAGTTTAAATAGCTGTGCATACGAACAACGCATGTTCATGTGTGTATTTGCTTTAAGCGCTTAGCGCTTTAAGAAGCAATCTAGTTTTATTGTCCAAAGCAAAACCGCTGAAATGCATCTCTTATTGTGAAAATCAGTCAGTTAATATTTCTAAACGGTATACCATTTTTTTAAACATTACACTCTGCATCTTTCACGCTTAGAGACTCGTCTCGCGAGTCTCTTTTCCGTCTTCACATTCTTTTGTTGTTGTTTTATATAAAAATGCGTCAAATGCTCATAAATTTACCATTTGAAATTTTCCTGCAAACAATTATCAGCAACTTTTTAAGCCTGAAAGTAATGTAAGACTTTTTATAAAAACCTTCTAAATCGTATTCTTAGTTATCTTGCAATTAGTCAGCTGCATTAAATAAATTTGGCTTAAAATAACTGGCCAGCAAAGTGTTAAAATTATGTTATTGTCACTCGATAATATATACGCACTATAAGCAATGATGCGCAATTTGTAGAAATTCAACAAAGAGTGAAGGTAACATCTGACAAAAGTCATAGAAACAACTCGATTCTGAAAAGTTGAGTCAAGGGAAACTCTGCTGTAACGTAATAATAGTATACACATAATTGTAAATGTTACAGGTACTGATAGCAATGGAAACTGGTAAAATTCCAGCAACTCTGCACTTCAAATCACCGCGAAAAGATCTTACTGCTGTTCTTGAAGGTAGAATTAAAATTATTACTGAACTTACACCTTGGAATGGTGGGTACGCAGGTGTAAATTCTTTTGGATTTGGTGGCGCAAACTGTCATGTATTATTAAAATCAAATCCGAAAAATAAGATAAAAAAACTAGACGACTTACCTAGACTTGTAATTGTGTCTGGTCGTACTGAAGAAGCTGTTCAAACGATTCTGGATGATGTAAGAGCTTAGAAATTATATTAATCGAGAATCAAATTATTATTTTTTTTTTTTCATTTTTATTTACCCAAAACTAGATTAATTCTGGAGTTTAAAATCTTGAGATTAGCTTGTGCAAAAGAAATAAGTAGATACTGTTTCGGAAACTTGTCAACGTCAACTGCAAAACTACGGGTTCCCATTTAAAAATTTTGAAAGTAAATTTAGCACAAATGGGAAGATAATTTTCAGATCAAATGTCAGCATCTAAGAACTTCAGAAACATAAATTTTAGTATTTCTCATATTTTTTGAGATATTTGTCTGACGCAAGTAATATGAAACACTAGAGTGTTTTGTATAGTCCGAACTGGCTAAATTTCTCGGAAAGTAGACTCAGTTTAAAAAACAATGTTTGAAACAAAAGTTGCAAAGTATACAGCGATATATTTACTGATGTTAATAAATTGACTTATGATAATGTCAATGTCACATCGATTTTTATAAATAGAACTTTTTTATCGCATATTCTTGTAGCTGCCATTGAGGCGTTTTTGAAACACTAGTTACAAGCCATTTGTTGATGAGTACTTGCTGAGTGACTTTATGAGTCCTTATATTTTGAAACAATTTACTGTTTTGTATTGTTTTTACTTTTTTTAAATAACGTTTTTTATTACGTTATAGGTACATAATCGGCCGATAGATACAGAATATATTGCTCTTTTACACAGCACTTATAATAAAAATATAGAACGTCACCCGTATAGAGGATATACTATAGTTGGATTAACAGAAGATCATAGGTCAATTAATAAGATAGAATGTTATTCAAATATAAGTAAACAAATATGTTTTCTATTTCCCGGAACAGATGTCATATGGAGTAATATAGGTATTTAATTAAATAAGTTATTATACATGATTTATAAAATATATAAAGTATTATATGTGTACACACTCATACGCACACATGTATGTATTGTACACGAACACGCTCACTCTAAAAATGCTGAAAAACTATCAATTTCAATTTATGTCAATATATTCTTTGCTCTATTTATTTATATTCGTTGTTAATTTATTTTTTCTATGCTATATGACCTTAATTATAATTCAGTATGTAGATCAATAACTGCGAAATGTTCGACACACAATGATGTAAATTTGTTTTATATGAATTGTGTTTGGATAATGTTTTCATTTTTTTTACCAAGTAGAGAACTTTAGGTTCTGAAGTTTAAACTAGAAATATATAAACGGTAATAAGAGCTGTTCGCTGGATGTTGTGTGTAAATATGCGTGTGTGTATATATTTATATATATATATATATATGTACTCACGAGTAAATCTTACACGTGAGTTTTTAAATCAATTTTTTTATTTCTTTTTTTCATCATTTATTATATCCAACTCAGAAGGTTGAAAATATAACCAAACTATTTTGGGTTGCATACTTGTCACATTATTACTTATTTTCAAGTTACATTTTGGTTTGTAGTTGCCGTTAATTACTATTTCTTGCTTTTCTTTACACCACACCGACCTCAAAAGAGCTCTTTATATATTTGATCTTGAAGTTACTTTATTTGAAATATATATATATTTCTTGTTTATTTAAGCATGTTTTTGTTTGAATGTTCAGTTTGAATTCATGCATATGAATAATATTTTTATCTGTTATTTTTTAGGCCAAGATTTAATGAAACTACCAATAATTGTCAAGACAATTCAGAAATGTGATGAAGCACTAAAACCATACGATATATGTGTCACGGACATTTTATTAAATAAAAAGGAAACTACTTGCAATGACAATATAAAATCATTCGTGGCAATCATTAGTATTCAGGTAAATAAAAAAAAACTTTAGTTTGTAAAATTAGTTTTGTATATTTACGATTTGCTTTTTATATTTGTTGAATTGTGGCGACTGCGTGACACAATTACGTCTAATTTAAAATTAAAATGTGTGTATTTTATATTTTAATAATTTTGCACACATATACAACATATATCTAGTTTTTGGCATTTAAACCAGCCAGTAAATTGTATTTCGATAGAGTAGTTCTGATGTTATGATATATTATCTATAATAGAATATGTTATGTTATGTTATTTTTATATAGATTGCAATAGTAGATCTTTTACTACATATTGGAATTGTGCCCGATTATGTACTTGGTCAGTCGATTGGTGAACTTTTGTGCGGATATGTGGATGAACTTTTTCCTGTTGAGGAAACAATTTTAATGGCGTATTATATGAGTGTTGCGTTTGATAAAATAGAAGTAGAACGGGTAAGTAAGTGTAAGTACTTTATTCTGTGTACATACGCATGTTACTGTATTGTTATGTTTTTTTTCAGTGTGATTATATTTCTGCTGCTTCTAATCAGTATTCAGAATCTACTAAATTAAAGCTACTAGAATATCTGAATCAAATAGCACCATATAAATCTATGAAAAATTTTAAGTATAGTAAGAAATGGTTAAACAAGTTTTTGCCTCACAATAAAATATACAACTCACTTACGCAGTTATCTGCTGCAGAATATTATGCACACAGTGCAGTATATTCGTCACTTGAAGAAATTTTACCTATGATACCGAAAAGTGTGGTAGTTATTGAAATAATATCATATAATAATTGGCAATTTTTTATGAAAAACTGTTTAGATTCAAACTATATTTCATTATTTCAACACGGTCACCAAAATAATATAGATAGCGTTTTGAAAGGAATTGGGAATCTTTATAATATCGGATGTCAACCGCAAGTTGCAAACTTATATCCGCCAATACAATTTCCAGTCAGTCGTGGAACACCAATGATATCTCCTCTNATAAAGTTTGTTTGTTTTTTTGTTTTGATGAAAAATAAGGATTAATTTTACCTAATATTATATATAGTTATATATTTTATATAGTTTATATTTTATTGCTGTTATAGATGGGATCACTCTGAAAATTGTTACGTTGCAAACTTTCTAAATAAGAAAAAACCTACCATTAGAGAAACAATTCAAGAGATTACATTCAAAGATTCCAATTTGAAATATATGTATGATCATGTAATTGACGGTAGGATTCTATTGCCAGCTTCAGGTTATCTGATTTTAATTTGGAAAATGATTGGAACAATGTCATGCTGCGACTATAAAGATATACCAATTATATTTGAAGATGTTAACTTTCTTCGCGCTACTTACTTATCAAAATCGACTACAGTTAAACTGACTCTTTCAATACAAAACGGTAAGAGTCTATTTGTATATTTGTTTTTCCTTCTATCTTCTCTCTCTGTCTCTTTCTCTCTTTCTTTCTTTCTCTTACAGACTTTCTTTCTCTTACACGCACACATACAACAAATTTATTATACATATGTTTATTTCTCTATTGTTTTCCTATTAATTATTATATAGGCAGCAATCAGTTTGAGATTAGTGAAGAAACTACTGTTGTTGTTACTGGAAAAGTGTGGATTCCACATGATATTGCAAATCATAAATTACTTATTCATAATTTAAAAGAACCTGAATATAACGTTACAAAATGTATGAATACCAAGGATATTTACAAAGAATTACGACTTCGTGGTTATCACTATTNTGGTATATTTCAAGGCTTGAAAAGTGCATCAATTTCAGCAAAAATGGGATATATTACATGGTCAGACAATTGGACAGCATTTATTGACAACATGCTGCAGATGAAAATTTTGTTACTAGATTCCAGAAGTCTTTTTGTACCAACAAGAATTCGTAAATTAGTAATTGATCCTCAATTTCACATAAACCAAATACAAACTACGCCTGATGAAAAAGCGAGTAAGTATATTATAATGAAATATACTCCACATATCATATTTTATGGATAAAATCTGTACGATAAAATGTAAGTAAAAAATAATATAAAGAAAATAAGAAACTTTCTGTACACACATACATACACACATTTAATACTCTTAATATTAACACATATCTTGTCATGGCAAAAGATCTAAATTATGGTACATATGTGCAATATCTGTTACCATACCCACTAACAGACATTTCAAAGTAGTATCACAAACATTCTTCTACATCGAGTGTTTTTTGTGAAACAGTTATCGACAATCTCTCTCCTGTCTCTACCATTATACATCTCTATTATGCTATCTCACTCTCTTTTCTTTTTAAATTTCTGTAGTGGAGATATACAATTTTTATTTCAGACTTTTCTGTACGCGTTTATGATTCTCTGGACGTTATAATATCTGGAGGAATAGAAATGTATGGCGTTATGGCTACAAATATACCTCGACAAGTTACTGAACCTATTCATGATGAATATTGTTTTATTGCTCATTGTGATCGTGCTGTGATGTCTCTAACAGAAATTATACAAATATCAGCGCATATCTCGCTTGAATGTAATCTAGTACTACAGGCAAATTTTATTGAATTAATTGAAGATGTTGACACAGTTACAGAGCAAGATCTAATCTCTACAATCCTTTATGACATTTTAAATAATTTGCCAATGATCGAACCAAATGTTACATTGGTTGCTCCAGCTAATCGTTTCAAAAATAATGAATTATCNNCAAATATCAAGCAGTCCGACAATTTGACAAAANATAACAATTTCCTAATNATNNTTGTTTTCAAACTTTTAACAAAAAACANAAGTGAATTAATCAATACATTATTGTCTACATTAAAGGAAGGTTGCTTTGTGCTGTCAAGAGAAAATCTCACTGAGTCNTACAATTATACATTATTACAACAATATAAGTTGAATATAGTTTTAGAGAAACGTACAGAGAAAGAGGCATTTGTGCTTTTAAGAAAAACACAAAGCATTGTACCGCAAGAAGTTATATATATAAATAACTCTGACTTTTCGTGGATTAACAAGTTGAAGTCTGCATTAAACATGGATGATAAATTAAACGCATCCACAAGAACAATATTAGTTGCAGACGATTTTGAATGTGGCATATTGGGTTTTATCAATTGTTTACGAAAAGAGCTGAACAAAACAGATGACAAGATTAGATGTGTATTTATCCAAGATGAAAATGCGCCGAAANTCTCTTTACAAGACTCTTTCTACATAAACCAATTACACTTGGACTTGCCTATTAACATTTTACGCCCCAACAAAGTTTGGGGATCGTATAGACATCTTCCGTTACCACAACTAAAACCAAAATTNGTACAGCATGGTTATGTCGCTCAGAGTGTATGTTCATATAGATTTATAAATTAATTTATGATATTTTCCTATTGTGTATTTTTTATTACATCAGTATTGAATATTTGTTGCAGGTGCGAGGTGATTTGAGCAAGTTGCGTTGGGTTGAAGGCCCGATATCTCCTGATTACAAACAAGAAAATCTCGTACGTGTAGTTTACGCATCACTTAATTTCAAGGATATTGTGATAGCTACCGGTAGAATTTCTTTAGAGATTTTTGGAAACGCAAGAAATATCGATTCTTTCTTAGGATGTGAATTTGTCGGGTACAATGCAGCTGGTAAAAGAATAATGGGAATATCTACTGTAAGGTATGGAGAACACAAATTTATTAGTTGTTACAATTTATATACAAAACAGTTATTTCCAATAATTCACTTTTACAAGATTAAGCTGGTCGATGCAATTCACAATCCTTTCCTGTATTTTTCTAAGGTTTGACACGAGTTGCGCGACCTTATTGAAGCCGGGACATACAAACAAATTTAAAGTTACTTGAATTTTGATAGTAAAACCAAAAAATCTATTTAAATATTATTCAGTTATGATTCTGCAATTCCTGTGCATGCGTATGTGCGTGCACCGCACATATATTTTTTATCCATGAATGGATAACAATTAATTTTAGAGATTTTTACAGATAGAACAAGTCAATGCTTTACGTATGACTACAAGCTACACCAACTAATATTTTGTTAATGCATTTCTATGAGAGTAAAATGCTACTGTGTTGTTTCTTGTCACGCGTAACGCATTGAATGTCCTGTCTGCAGACGCCAAAGTTTACTGTTAAAACATAGAAAAACAATATGTGTATTTTATAAACTACTACTTTAAGTAAACCATTTTAGAGGAATCACAAATCTTATTGTGGCTGATCCACAACTTTGTTGGATCATTCCTGACAAATGGACGTTTGAGGATGCTGCAACTGTCCCAATTGCTTATTGTACGAGTTATTATGCTTTGTACACACGTGGAAAATTAAAGAAAGGAGATAAAATTCTTATACATTCTGGAACTGGTGCCGTTGGGCAATCTGCAATTTATCTCGCGCTTTTTGAAGGATGTGAAGTTTTTACAACTGTAGGAACACCTGAAAAACGCAACTTTATAAGAGGAAAGTTTCCTTCTATACCTGAAGATCATATAGGAAATTCTCGAGACACCAGCTTCGAACAAATGATTAGTCAACAAACAAAAGGTCGAGGTGTGGACATCGTGCTAAATTCTTTAGCAGAAGACAAACTGCAAGCATCTATTCGGTGTTTGGCAAGAGGTGGTCGATTTTTGGAAATTGGAAAGTATGATTTACTATCTAACAATACTATAAATTTAAAAGAATTTTCAAAAGGTATTAGTTTTTATGGAGTTATGTTAGATAAAATATTTATTAGTACTGATGTAACAAGAAAAATAAATATTCGTAACTCGATAACCAATATGATTCAGCGTGGAGCGATCGTACCACTTGTAAGAGAAGTTTTTGAACAACATGAGGTAGAAACCGCTTTTAAACATATGGCAGCTGCAAAACATATAGGAAAAGTAAGTTAAAATAAACCTAAACTTACAATTTTTACACAAAATGTAATACTGTGTATAGCAACTAAAGGCGTTTACGTCATGCGTGATCGAGGTTGTATATTTCATATATACATTACTTAAAAAAATAATTATTTAGAATTAACATATAAACGTTTCAATATACTTATACCGATTTACACTGTGGTTTTTTTCACCATAAATGTCGAATAAAAAAGTTTAAGTAAAAACAATCTTAGCAAAATGTTACTTAACTCTTAAGATTGCAGTAGAATTGAATATGTGGCTTTGCCAGATTATGCAGTTCCTGTTATTAATCTGCTATCGATAGTTCGATAATGACATAAATGCTATTTGTTGACAAAAACTTTAGACCTGATTATTTTGCAAACGGCTTTCAATGTTTTGCGATATTCTTGTAACCAACAATATTGTAGCCAACTCTTTACAAATTGTTATCAATTTATTTAATTATTGAATTAAAAATTTAAACCAATTACTGAATAAAAATGTAAAAATAAAAGCTACAAATAGTTTTGTGTCATGTGTCGAAAATATATTTTATTAAAACAAATATTTTATTTTTGTGTGTTTCTGTCTCAATATAAAGAACAGTTGAAATATAACTTTACTAAAACTTTTTAAATTTAGTAAAACCTTTAACTTTAAATATAACTATTAAATATAACTTTAAATATAATTTTTAAATATAACTTTATTAAGACTTTTTATTTTTACTTTTAGGTAATCATAAAAGTACGTACAAAAAAGGAAGATGTGGACGCTCCTATTCTCGCGTATCCTCAATATTTCTGTCATGAACATAAATCTTATATTATTTTGGGCGGTTTAGGCGGTTTTGGCCTGGAGTTAACTGACTGGTTGATTCTTCGTGGCGCTCGAAAAATTATACTCATTTCACGAAATGGTATAAAGAACGGTTATCAACACTCAAGAGTAGAGTTATGGAAATCGTATGGAGTAAATGTGCAAATAATGACAGGTTTTGACGCATCTACTCATGAAGATTGTGCTTCCATTTTACATTCTGCCAACGAATTAGGACCAGTAGATGCTATATTTAATCTCGCAGTTGTGCTAAAAGATAATATTTTCACGAATCAAACTCCGGAAACATTTGAAGAAACATTTCAGTCNAAAGCTCTAGCTACAAAGCAACTGGACGATTTGTCTAGAAAAATGTGTCCTCATCTGCGACATTTTGTGGTATTTTCATCTGTTTCTTGTGGAAAGGGAAATCCTGGACAAACTAACTACGGTATGGCCAATTCGATAATGGAAAGAATCTGCGAAAAAAGAGCGCAAGATGGATTACCTGGCATGGCTATTCAGTGGGGTGCGATAGGTGACGTCGGTCTTGTCGCTGACATGCAACAAAACAATAAAGAACTAGTTATCAGTGGAACATTGCAACAACGAATATCATCTTGTTTAGAATCACTAAACACTTTCTTAATGCAGAATCGACCGATTGTAAGCAGTATGATTGTAGCTACAAAATCGAAAATTTCTGGTGATATTCTGCATGTTGTGATGAACATTATGGGTAAATATAGAAATTACTATATTATAAACTCTTCTCTTTCCCTCTTTCTTTTTATCAACAATAACAATGATTTTTTATTCCATTATCAAATGATACTTTTACATGTTTGTATATAAATTTCATACTTAACGCTCTCTCTTTGTCTCTTACACACATAGGATTAAAAACTTTAAAAGGAGTTGGAGAACATGTACTCTTGTCTGAACTTGGTATGGATTCTATGATGAGTTTAGAAATTAAGCAAACAGTAGAAAGAGAATTCAGTGTCTTTTTCACAATCCAACAACTTCGCACTCTCACATTTGCTAAGCTCAAAGAAATAGCTAAAAAAGATATGTACGACCAAAAGAATATTGAAACACAACTTGACACGAATAACTCGCAACATATAAAAGTCTTTAATCTTTTCCGGTTAATATCTGACTTAGATATATTTTCAAACATTTGTATAGAGCTCTCTACACAAGGAGAAGTAGATAGAAACCAAGTATTTCTTTTGCCAGGAATTGAAGGATTTGCTAACGTATACACCTCAATAGCTTCAAAAATTAAAGCTCCTGCAATATGCTTACAACATAGTTCTAATTATCTTCCTGAATCTGCTCACTCTGCAGTACACTCAGCCACTGATCTTCTACCTGTATGTAGTAAACTAGAAATTTGTACATCTAGAAATGAAATTATAAGTTTTATGGTGTTTACAAGCAATATTAATTACAAAAATCCTGTATTTTTTAGCATATATTATCAAAACTAACAGATTCTACAGAATTTGTAATTGGCGCATATTCATATGGATCTCTTATTGCTATTGAAATGGTAAAACAATTAGAAGCTAAAAACTTTCGAGGACGATTAGTCGAGTATTAATAGATAATAAATAAGACGATTATTAGAGTATTAATAGACGGAGCTCCCAAGTACTTAAGAAACTTACAGGAAACATTTTTCCCTTTTACTAATAATCAAGAATTTCAACTTATTGTGTTAAGGCAATTAATGGATGTGTTTAATATACCTGTATCAGAAGTGGTATGTAATATATAATATTACACATACAAGTGTGAAAGACAACATACATGTTATACAATATATCATATACAGATACATACATATATATATAGCACTGACACATTAAAACTATGGCAAATAGAAACATATTCTATACATTTAACATTTACTAACAGTTAATATTTTAATATTTGTTTAATATTTGTTTTAGATTATATCAGAAATGAGTAAATATGTTACCTGGGAAGAAAAACTAAATATTTTAATCAAAAATAAGTCTGAAATAGCCAATACGATTTCTACTGATTCTATTAAAATATTTTGTACAACAATTTACAAACATTTAATTGCTATTCGAGAATATGATATGTCTTCATTGGTTTCAATCCGGTCACCTATAATATTATTGAAAGCAACAAATTCATTACTTCCTTCGATAGAAGAAGATTTCGGTTTAAATAAGGTAATTTAGCAAATATTCCACTTTTCTTATGTAATATATTTTTTTGTCCTACTTTATATATTTTTATATAACAGATGTGTTTTTGTCGCAGATAAGCAAAAATGTACAAATTCACTACGTAGATAGCAATCATATATCAATAATTAACACTGAACTGGTTGCAGCTGCTATTAATGGAAACATAAAACAAGAGCAATAAATAGTTTGTCGTCGAGAAAAATAACAAGAGAATGTAAAAGCATTACATAAGTAATTTGCTGTCAATTTAACAAAAACAAACAAATTATCTGGAAAAGAGATGCCAAATTTCTGGAAGAGTGCGCGATTTAAAAAACATTTATACAACATGTGTCTTAATATACATGAATCTAATAATGACTATTTAGTGGAAACTATGACTCTACTAATCTCAACATTATTGTAACGATATCAAAATTGATTTAATTTAACTTTGCGAACTCAAGCATATAAAAAATAGGTAAATCTTTTAAAAACAGACAATTGTTTTCAGGAAATTTTTTGTTTTCTGTAAATTGACAGCAAATTATTATTATTGCTTTTTCCTTGCTGTTGTTTTGAATACACACTACGGGTTGTGAGTTGTGACTAAAAAATATGGAGTGTGATTTAAAAAACTACTTTTTGTAAATCGAAATAAAATGGATTTTGAAGAGAAATTTACATATATTGATTTTCTAAAGATGCATCTCAACATACATTACTATTTACAAAAGAATTACCAAGAAAGTACAAAGAACCAAATTTTAAAATTTATTAAATTATTACTTTTAAACATTAATGTCTTTGATAAAGCCAGTATATATTCGATTCTTAATGAATAAACTACCATAACTAATGCAAACAATAGCGTTCGTGGAACATACCTAGAAATAACTACATTTTCTTTTTTCTAGGTTACTACTAGCATAATCTTGTATTTATATTCTCATTCTTTCATCTTTTATATATTTTCAAATCTCAACAAACTTGTATCGAACAACGTTTATACAGCAAAACAAAAGCAGTATTTAAAGATATGTTGTGCACATCAAATCAAGACTTTCTTTTAGATTTCATTCTGCAGTGTTTCGGAGTAAATAGTGTAACAACGAATGCTTTTCAGGTAATGACACAAGCCGAAACAAAAATTATTTTCCGCATAACATCCGAAAGCGAACGGCTCTTCACGACTATTTATATATTATTTATTCGTTTAAAAGACGTCAGAGCCCGAGAAAAATTATTTTATTTTTATTTTTCAATAAATATTGAGAGAACAGAATGATTTTTGTGTTGCCTTGTGTCGCTAACTGGAAAGCATCCACATGCAAGCAAAGAAACACAGCGAAAGTACAGAAACAAATCAAAACAGTGTATCGTTACAAAAGATATAATAGAGCTGATATCAAACAGAATCTGCTATTATAGTTACTGATATCTTTGTGATGTCTCTTTGTTTCAAACTTTATGACGTGAAACTTTTTGTACCGATTCAAGTGACCGTCTTATAGACTGTGAAGGAAATGTAATACGGATTTAAATTATAAAGTGATATTTGCAAGGCCGAAGCTCAGACTTTAGCATAATGGAGAACGCATAAAAGAATCGACCAATCAAAGCATTCTAGAACAAGAAGTAAAGGATAGAAATAGAAGGCTGAGTTGATTGATTCTTTTATATCTTTTGCGTTGTACATTACGCGAAAGTCTGTGCTTCAACTCATACCGTCTATCATAATTATGTATGACTATATCTAAATCATAATTGTTGTACTTTATANATGATGCACACCTTATATATACTTAAATATATACTGTAATGACTTATACGCAATTACATAGAAGACTAACAGAAATTTATATAAAATTATACACAAAATATTGTAAACATTAACTATATATACAGGGTGATTCATAACAACCTGTTATCCTTGAAAATACATAGTTTTGATTAAAGTCTAATAAAACTTCTTATTTGGCAAAAAAACTTTGTTTGAAGCTTTTATTTTTTGAGTTATTAATAAAAGCATTTGACTTACCACAAGTCGGATACAAGAGGTAGACAGGGATGACGCATCTCGCGCGACCGATTATGTGTTGTGCCTGACGTGATCAGCTGATCGTTACACACAGTTTCTGTATTTTTCTCTGTCTCTTCTCTCTCTTTCTCTCTTTTTCTCTCACTTACTTATTTAGTCATTCGTAATTTCTATTACTTAATCCGTGCATNACATAAATCACTATCACTCACGGTGAGTTGCGCTACCCTTGCCTATCTCTTGTATTCGACTTGTGGTAAATCAACTATTTTTNTTAATATCTCAAAACGTAAGCTTCAGACAAAATTTTGCCAAATAAAACGTTGTCTTAAAATTTAGTCATATGTATTTTATAAGAATAAGTATTTTCAAGGATAACGGGTTGTTTTGCATCACCCTGTATAATATTCACAATGCATAATGAATAATACATAGGACGCACTTAAGTATAATCGTATATATAGCAATCGCCCCGTTTATATATAACATACATATAATATATATGCTCTATAATTTGTAACTATATATAATCCTGCATACTTGTGCTGCATTTGTATTCAAATGTGCATTACTATATATGTATACAACTATATAATAAACCTCGAATTAAATTTTGATAGTTAAAACTTCACAAGCTAAGCACAGCAATATACGAGCAGTCATCATAATAAAAATATTTTTAAAATACTGTGTAACATCATTCATTTTTTAATGGAAAATTGCCGTCACTTCATAAATTTAAAAACTCCGGAAAACTNCATTTTATGTTTCACAGACAAACGCGATTTATAAATCTTTCTCAAATCGTTGAAACTGATAGCTGCAATATTAGGTCGGTATCTTATTCTTATAGCGATTTTGGCTGATCTGTACCGATTGCACATTTCGGGTGTCGCGCAGTGAACCAGAAGAGCCAACTAAATGATCAAAATTTAATTACGTATTCACACAAACAAAAGATTTTTATAAATATGCAAAT